GCTGCTTTGTCCCAAAATGTAAGAAAATCTAAGCTTAGAATTGTGCATTTTCATTAGAATCACTTTATTCCATGTCACAAATGGAAGTTTAGTAGTTGACAAAAAACAAGTCACATGCTTGAACCAGATTCTGTAAAAAACAAAAAAATCTGTACTACTTATTGCAACTGTAAAGCCATTTATGACTCAGCTGTGACCAACAGTCGTGACAAAAAAAAACAGACCACAAATTACACAAGTATAAAAATAAAATAAAATGAAAATGTAGGCCGTAATATATCTAGAATATGTAGAGTCACAATTCTGCCGACACTTGGAAAAATGGTGTACTGATTCCAGGTTTTTCTGTTTGTTTTTTTGTCAATTAAATTCAATAAATTCTTTTTATGATTGATAGCATTAAAACTTTGTTATACTACACAGAATAAATGTCTCAGTTCTCTCTTATTCTAGTCATGGTTGTTTTGTTTTCATAGAGTTGCAGGACTTTATATTGCAATGAAAAATGAGCCAACTGTGAGGAGAAATATGACAGGAGCAAAAAACAATTCCCATCGAGTTGAGAGGTTTAAATCTAGACCTGCCACAAGTCCGACCTCTTTGTGTAGAGCTGCATAGGAACGGAAAGGTTTTGTTCTCTTCCTGTGAAAACATAATGAGGCACTTCAGCGATTGTTTTATTTAGCGCTTGTGTTTCTGTATTTAGCGCTTGTGTTTTTGTATTTAACAAACAACCTAGTCGACTGTATTCAGAATTAAAAATGCATGGCCCTGCTTTCTCACTGTGCTGCTTCTGGAGCTGGAGATGACGGTGCTGCTGGTTTTGTCTGTAGGATGTGGTTCGCAGCTGGTACAGCCGGCTGCCCTCGATGGTCCAGAACGCCCAGCAACTGGTGTCCAACTCTGAGGAGAGCGCCAGAGCCTGTTCAGACGGTGAGGCGGTTCACCACATCAGAGTCTTTACTGGAAAACCTGCAGCACACAGTCAGATGGATGCTGTGGAGTCGGGTTCAAATGCAAAAAACAAACAGGCTAACATGCTGGAACCAAGCAAACATTGTAAAATGACTTTAACACACTGAAACAAAGTTAGTGTCAGTCTATATGTTTATCATCAATCGTTGAACTCAAACCACACACAGTTTATGAATTGGTACACAATTTCAATGAGATGAAAAGCAGCCCACAGTCTTGACACATGAGGACACACTGCACATGCCCAGATTAGTCTTTGTTTTTATGGCTTCAGCAAAGACATAGTCCAACATGTAGCCCTGGAAAAACAGGTTAAATGTAACACGTTAATCACTGATCTGTGGAGGAGCTACTATGTGGATTCTGTTACCTTTAGACAGAAACAGGCGAGCTATTTCCCCCTTATTCCTGGACTATAGTCTTTATGCTAAGCTAAGCTAGCAGTTTCCCTTTGTTTCCAGTCTTTCTGCCAAGCTAAGCCAACTGTTTCCTCTAGTTTTTAGTCTTTATGCTATGCTAACTGTTTCCCCCTTTTCCAGTCCTTAAGATAGACTAAGTTAGCTAATTTCCAATCTTTATGTTGAGGTAAGCTAGCTACTTACCCTCTGTTCCAGTTTTTATGCTACACTTAGCTAGTTGTTTCCAGTCTGTATGCTAAGTTAAGCTGGCTGTTTCCTCTTGTTTTCAGTCTTTATGCTAAGCTAAGCCAGCAGTTTCCCTTTGTTTCCATTCTTTCTGCCAAGCTAAGCCAACTGTTTCCTCTAGTTTTTAGTCTTTGTGCTATGCTAACTGTTTCCCCCTTTTCCAGTCCTTAAGATAGGCTAAGTTAGCTAATTTCCAATCTTTATGTTGTTGTTTCCCTGCATTTTCAGTCTTGTGCGAAGGTAAGCTAACTGTCTCCTCCTGTTGTCAGTCTTTATGCTAAGCTAACAATTTTCCTGTTTTCAGTCTTTAACCTCAGCTTAAAGTTTCCCCATTTCCTGTCTTTATGCTAAGCTAAGCTAGCTGCTTCTTCTTTATGCGAAGCTAAACTCCGTTTTCAGTTTTTATGTTGAGCTAAGATTGCTGTTTATTTCATACTTTCCTCAGTTTTAAGTCTTGTTAGATTTAAATCCTGCTGTATTACAGTCAGTATGTTAAACTCTGAGCTGCTGTTTTAACTAGCACCAGGTTAGCAGCTGTAGCTCATTAATTCTTTTCTATTTGTCCTTCCTCCATATCCAGGTTCTCTGTCCAGACTGGGTCAGTGTTTGGACCGTTCATGGCAGCAGAAGAAGCTGATGGCTCCTGGCTGTGAGCCGGCCTCGGTGAGGGCCATGATGGAGGCCCTGAGGCCCCTGGTTCTGGGTCAGAGCCTGGCCGGGGCCGGAGGAGGAGGCTTCCTCTACCTGCTGACCCGGGAGCCTCGACAGCAGGAGGCAGTGCTGCAGGTCCTCAACAACACACCGGTAAGAACCAGGACAGGTCGGGTCAGAGGTCAGCTTTAGCTATGAGATAATGAAGACCAACATTTTAATTACATGTAGCATCAAAATACAAAAAAATGTTTAAAATACAACACAAAATGCAGAAAAACACAACATAAAAATACAAAAATACGTAGCAACAATATAAGCAGACATGCAGCAGAACAGGAAAATGCAGTTTTGTGTTATATTTATACAGTTCTAGGCATTTACAGTGTTTTAATTATGACAAACATTTAACAATGTTAAAAGATCGTGACTTAAATATGTTGAGGCAACCGTCATGTCAAAGATTTTACTTCAGGAAGATGCTCCACAATGCATCTTCACAAACTCGGGTTTTTTGCAGAGGAGGGACCTTTAAACAACCACCTGAGGGGACAAATGTGCATTTTGTTCAGTTATAAATAACAATAACTAGTAACTGTGCATGCTTTTTGTCATCAGAGACATTCTTTCTGATTGTCACCTATTATAACTTTTCTAATCTTTGTTTGAAATGGATTTTCTGTCACAAACTGAACTTGTTTCAGGGTCTGGGAGACTTCAGTGTTCACTCAGTGGAGGTGGACATGGACGGGATCACAGCTTTGCCACCTTAACAGAAGAATAAGAGACGTTTATGAAGTTAAATTATGTAAATCGATGAGTTGTGATTGTTTGAATCCAGATGACTGACCAGTAGTGATTATTGAACGGTGCATTGCACTTTAAAATCTCTCCCAATGAGGATAAGCCTAATTTTCTCATGAGGTAAAAGAACATTTGCAAACACTTGTGAGGGTTGATCAGTGTTATTTTAAATATTAGTTATTGATACCAACTGTAGAGCTGGTGACAGCAGTGATTCTGTAAAAATGTTCTTTTGATTTAACATCCAGAGGTGATTTCTCTTTTTTTTGTATTTTATTGATTTAGTATTAATGTGTAAATTAACAGAATGAATCCTCAAAGAGCTTATTGTTTTTGAGCATTTATGTTTCTGATAATAAACAGAATTCCTGCCAAAGAAACTTCTTAGCAGCCTCTAAATACTTTTGAGGCCCTAAACTTGAGACTCTGTGTGTTAAAGGACCTCCTGCTCAAATTACAGCTGAGACTCAGTTTTCAAGATTATTTTTTGAGTGTTTTATGTGTTTATTTGACAGCAGCAGTGGAGGGACAGACAGGAGAAGCAGGGAAAGAAAACAGAATGAAATAGAGCAAATGATGGGACCAGCGGAGACTCACTGCTCAGGAGATTCATGTGGTACGTTTCCTCATCTTTTAGCTCTCTGGCTGCCTAACGCTGGGCTTAACATCCATCCATCCATCATCTATACACCGCTTAATCCTCACTAGGGTCGTGGGGGGCTGGAGTCTATCCCAGCTGACTCAGGGTGAAGGCAGGTTCACCTGGACAGGTCACCAGTCTATCACAGGGCTACACTGAGAGACAGACAACCAAGCACACTCACATTCACACCTACGGACAATTTAGAATCACCAATTAACCTCAACATGTTTTTGGACTTTGTGGGAGGAAGCTGGAGAACCCGGAGAGAACCCACGCTGCACGGGGAGAACATGCAAACTGGGCTTAACATGTTATCCATAATTATATTTCAAACTGTTGAAGCTCAGAAACGCAGAACAAGAATTATCTAACTGATTTCTTTCAAACTAATCACAGGAACTTTCTGGACAAAAGCAACACTTAATAAAAAAGTTCCTGCACACTGTAAATATTTCAGACAAATTTAATAAAGCAGTGTGATAGTATTTCTATTTTTAAATGAACGTAGAATATGATCCCTCTTGATGATTGTTGTTGATAAAGTATAGAATGTAGTAAGTAATAGTTGTGGTTATTCTGACATTTATGTCTGTATGACTTTTTATGTTCACGGTTTTTATTTGAAGGGTATATTGTCAAATTAATGACAAGTTACTTTGCCTAAAATTAAACCCAGATAAAACTATAGATATTGTGATTATAGATAGCAGCAATTCATATAAGTGACAACAAATTGTTATCCATACATCCATAAAAGCAGCCGTACTAGATTAAAATATTTAAAATAAGAATTTAATGCACCTGCTAACTTTAAAGCAGACGCCGCTAATAAAACACAAAATAAAACTGAACCAATATTTAGTTTTTTTCATTTTAAGTTTCCAAATCATAATATTTCCACTGTTGTCCATTTATTAACTGATTAATAAATTAATCAATTTAGGGTTAACAAATCACGCAAACCAGCTGTTATTCAACCTGATGAGAGTAAAAATTGGAGAAAAAACATGAAGTCCCTGAAATGGGATGTTTCTTGAGTCTTTGTTTTATAAAAAGGATATTTTAAAAGAGCTACACATTATGAAGTGAGCTTCAGAGTGTTTCTATTATGTTTATACGGTCATAGATACCTTTGTTTAAAAGAGACAAATAACAAAGTACTATTTAAGGATTTGTATGGTAATGTGAAGTGATTTTTCTGTCCTTCTTAACTGTAAATAAATAAAGCATAACATGTGGGTGGATACAGAGATGAAGGTTAGACCTGTAAAGAATAACTGCTCTTTGTTTTATAATATAAGTTTATTTTCATGTTAGTAGAGAAGAAAAAGCAACATTTTTAACAAATATCTTAAGTTTAAAGCACAGTTTCTGCAACATTTAATTAATTTTGACAATTTATTCAACATAAAATGATCAAAATTGTGACAAATGTCTACAAAATGTTGCTTGGTATCACTAATTTCTTGGTCTGATGATCTGCAGCCACAGAAAAACACAAAAGTGCAGTAAATACTATGACACAGACAGGTACAACAGAATATTTTTCTCTCCTTTGTAATGAGTTTTAAGGCTTTTATAAACAAATATGTTTATTTGTCAATTATCAAAATTACAATCAGCGCATGGATTATTTCCTACGTAACTCCTGGAGTCACAGCCAGGACACAATAAGAAGTGATCAATACTTTGTGGCACATAATATGAGTAAGAGGCAGCTTCACTGAGGCTGAAAATAAAGATGGACGACAGGACGCGGCACACAAGACAAAGTAAATGTCTCAGAAATCGATCTGCCATCTGGTTCTGGTTCTGGTGATTTACAGCCACAGTGTGCTGTAAAGACTGAGGTCCATCCTCATAAACAACTGTTGGTCCAAACGCATCCGACTATAAAACACGTCTTCAGTCTCACTTCCCGGCGACCACAGACAGCTGGTCTCTGATGCGTCCCAGTCCGTCCAGTATGGTGTCCAGAGACTCCCTGCTCAGCTCCACCGTCACCGCGGAAACCGACTCAGAGCCCGCTGACGGACACGGATCCTCCATCTGAAAACAAGTGAAGATCAGGTCATTAGAAATAATCAGTAATTATCGATATGTGATCAGATTCTCAGCTGTATCACCCACCTTGAGCTGAACCAGGCAGGTCGGCACCGACATCCGGCTGACTGAGTCTGAGCTGGTCACCAGGTCCACTCTCCAGTTCAGGTCCTTCAGCTGAGGCAGGGAGACTGAACACAAGCAAACAAATACAAACTGATTGTAGCTGAAAGTTACAACTCAACAACAAATTGTAATTTTTTGTAATTTAACTGTGTGAAGCAGTACTTTGTAGTACACAGTATCACTTCATTACGGTCACTGTAAACCCAGCCTTCCCTCTAAGATTTCATCGTTTACACTTTTTGTCCCCATAACATGAGCAATATATGAGCAAACACACATGCAGGCTGTAAGTTTAATGACTATCTCTGTGGGGACATTTAGTGAAACTCAGTCTGAACCCTCCAACGCTGGTCCTCACAGAGATAGACAAACAGCACGAGTACACAGCAGGAGAATAACTTAATATTAGATGATGATGTGAAGTCGACTCACCCTGATCGCTCACAGCTTCTGTCCGCCATGTTGGACTGAAAAACAGCAGAGAGACGTGATAATGATGTCATTACAGCCAGCAGTTACATCACACTGCAGCAACCAATCGTCATCTCTCCTGATATAAAGTAATATAATCATCTGACAGCTAAGTGACGTTGTGCAGAGGTTGCATTCACTGTTGCTGTAAACTGTGTGCAGCTCCTTATTTCAGCAGTAAAGGTTCTATCTAGATGAAGGTTTCTGTGGAGCTGACCTGTTCTCCAGCAGGATCTTGGTGATGAGGTTCTTCAGACTCGAGTGGAAGGACTCGGGGAACACGGCGAGGATCTGCTCTGGAGAGCTGAGGTTGTAGAAGAGGACGTGATGGGACAGAACGTGGAGGGACTGGATCAGCTGGAGGACAGAGACACGGACCAGGGTCAGGCTGGAGACAACTACAGACTGGTTAAAGTCCAGAGTCAAGACCAACCAGTTCTGAGTCAAGACCAGCAAGTCCAGATCAGTCAGTGCCGGAAACTTTTTTGGGTTTTTTTTGTTCACAGACACAAAGAAAGTCGAGTTCCCACAGTGTGACCTTTTACACAATACCAGTGATAGTGCTGCCTGGCTAGCGTTATGTGTGCAGCCTGGTTAGCGTTATGTGTACAGCCTGGTTAGTGTTATGGGTACAGCCTGGTTAGTGTTATGGGTACAGCCTGGTTAGCGTTACCTGTGCAGCCTGGGCAGCAGGGATGCTGAGAGTGGCTGCAGTGCTCTCAGTCAGCAGGCGACTCGGACCTTTGTGACTCTGAACACAAACGTCTCTGACAACATCTTTGGACGGAGCCTCAAGAAACAAAAACAGCTCACAGTCAACAACAACAACATCAGGACACTGTGGTCATGTGACCATCTGAGAACGCCACTGCTGTTTAAAAGCTTCTCAGATGTGTGAAAATGGGGTTGATGAGAAGAATTAGAGAAGAAAAACATGGAACTATGCTAAATTAAAGACATATGATGCCCTAAAAATACATAAAAGTCAAACCTAAAGTAGACATAATGATAATATACACTTTTATGAAACACAACACACAAGAATAATGGTTTTATAAGTAGTTTCCTCTATTTTAACCTCGCTCTTCAAATCAAATCTGACCAACAATTGAGAGTATTACACTTATAGCTCATTTACATTTTTTATAGATGTATTATTATTGTCATTCTTTACATTATTAGCACAGAGCCTTTATAATGAATTACCTTATTTCTATAATAATAACTAAAAAAAAAAACACATTTTAAGAATCTCTAAAATCTGACATTTTTTTAAATTCGCTTATTAAGTTGTTTTTTTTTTTTTTTTTTAGTTATTTTTTAAATTTACCTGAATGATAAACTAATGCACAACATGGCCAGTATTTGCCAACATGATTTGGTATTAAAGGGGTTTTATTGCCCCAGATTTAATCTTTTTGGGGGATTACAATAGAATGCAAGGTTTCATTATATCTTAAATTATTATATTAATATTACTATGGCCAGTGTTAAGATAAAATTAGATTATGTGGTTAAATGATCTGCTAAGACTTGTTTTTTCGTCAATAGCAGTTCTTATTTTTGTCTTTTTTATTCAGACTAACTTCATTTTCATCCGTATCTCCTCCAACTACAGACGCAACCTCCAGTTTTTCCATAAAAATCCAGTTTTGAGTTAAAACAACGAACCTACACTGAATGAGAAACACACTGTTGCTAGCAGGCTAAAGCAAACTCCTCACTAACGTTAATATTTCAGTGTTTTTTCTGACAACAAGTAAAAACTAGCAAATACAGTTTGAGTCTAAAACCTGAGAGTTTTTTAAAACGTTAAAATGAAGCAGAAATACCTTCAAGAGAAGCTGCAAGTTGTTAAAATCTTCGCTGGAGACAGCAGCAGCCATGTTGACATGTGACGTTAACCTGCGACGAGTCATGTGACAGAAAGATGCCGCTATGGCTCCTGGGAAATGAAGTACAACCGGAAAACAACACATGGCAAACATAAAACCCGATTAAACTTTATTAAAACGGGAAAAATATAAAGGATTCTTGTGAAAATGAGACATATTTTATTGTGTTTCACTTAGAAAAACATGTGAGTCATAATAAAATTTTATATATAAAAATAGAGGGAGCATAATAGGAAAAGATGACAAATATAAAAATGTTGTTGAGAATAAAACAGCAAAGGAGGGGAAATACTAAATAAGTGTAACAACATACAAAATCTAAATAAATAAACAAATAAATAAAATAACACCTTACAGGTTTAAATTAGTCATTCAGCTTTGGCTGCATTTTTTACCCTGTGTACCCTCATAAATCCAACTTATTTAACAACACATAAAAGCAGTAGGGGGAAATACACAATGTCTAACACAGAAATGTGTAAAAAAAAAAAAAAAAAAAAGTCATTACATCTGTAATAATAAACCAAACAATACGATTTTTGGACAATAAAGCAGCTTTAGTACCAAATAATGTCATAAAATACTGGGTATGTAATGCAGCAATTCATGATTTAAGTAAGTAAAAATATGACTTTAAAGTCTAATACAAAGTCAGATTTTTTTAAAATTGATTTTTAAAATTTAGTTAGTTTTAGAGCAATAATTATAATAAGCCTTGTTATAATATTGGCTGCATGTTAATATATCATGTAAAATAAAAACAATATTAACTTATATGTAATAAATAATAATAAAAACATTCATGTGATGAAAAATAAATAAGTGAGATATTATAATAAACTTAATATTGCGATTGCAGACTCTGTAATAAACCGGAAGCCTGTGATAATGGACGTAGTAGTAATAATAATAATATTTATTAAAGGCAGTGCTGAACTGACGGGAGACGACCAGCAGCAGCTCCTGGAGGTGGGGGCGGCTCGTCGCAGTTACTCTCTGCGGGGGACGGAGCGCCTCAGACGGGATGGAGGCTGTCGGTAGCCGGCGGCAGCTCCGCTGATCTCCGGCCGGCCGCTGCGGTGAACATGTCGGTGTCCGGGATGAAGAAGCAGCTACACAAAGCGAGCCAGGTGAGCGGGCCGGGCCGAGCAGAGCCGAGCAGAGCCGGGCTACGGCGGTGTTTGTGTGATGAGGTGTTCCGGGGATAAGACTAATATCTGGAGGATCTGGGCTTCAGGGTGTCCTCTGGTTTCACTGCGACACTCGGCCTGCAGCTGCTCCCAGGATCGATCCGTCCGATCAGGAACACTTTAACCAGCACTGACTGTAAATCTGATGATTTTATCTGCACAGATGTTCTCCTGCATTAATCCTCCGTGTGTAGGTGTGATCAGCTGTTTACTGCTGATTCTACAATCACTGCAGTACTGCAGACTGTTTACAGTATCCTATAACCTTATTGTTGCTGTTACTAAAGGTGCTTTAGTTGCTGTACTACCAGTGGTGCTCTGATACTGTGAGTAAAAGTAGAAATACCACAATGTTACTACAAGTAAAAGTCCTGCATTCAAAGTCATTAGTGTATTTGAGTGCTGGAGTCCAAGGTTCTTATACTTCTAATCTACAACAGTTCAGAGGGAGCGACTGTACTTCTACTGCTTTTATTTTACAGCTTACGTTACTTTACAATTTGAGATTTTTACACTCATAACACATAAAGAGCTTCTGAAATATGAAACACAAGTTGACATTATCTACGCTGAAAAAAATGAAAAAAATACATTAAAAACAGTGGAATATTGTAATGTCCAAAAACTGTAAGAACTCGTGAAAATAATGGCAAATATCTGTAAAGCAATTATGTTTTTAGTGAACTTAAATACAGTAAAATGGTGTAATTTTTATGGTCACACGTTCAGTAAATGTTTTTCATGCAGATATTATGTACAGTTCTAAAAATATTTTACAGTTAACGTGTAAATTCATTTTTTTTCTTTGATTTTACTAGATATTATCTGTAATTTAACAAAACAGGGAAAATGTGTAAAATAATAGTTTAATTTTTTTAAAATTATTCTGTTATCTTTCCTCTTCCAATTATCACGCCACAGATTTATCTTCTGTCATTATATATATCTGGATATAAAGCAGTTCAAACCTGCAGCAGCTCCAACATTAACCTGCTGCTGACACTGATGATTCACTATTAATAATATATAATAATATATCAGTCAGAGGAATCAAACAAGCACTTACTGTAATTCTTTAACTACATTTAGCTGCTGTGTACTTTTACTTAACTAGGATTTTTCATGCAGTAAAGGGTAATTTTTAGTTTGTTGTGGGGGTTTTTCTGCAAGATACAGACTTAATCTGAGAGCATTTGCATTTCTAAAGAGACTCTTTCATTTCCACACTTATTTTTGATGTCATATAAAGATTCTGTGCTGTTGTGATGCTTTATTTCATTGGTTATGAGGATGAACTACTTTCTGCAGTTATTATTGGTTTTCCCTGGTGTGTGTGTGTGTATGTTTGGGTATGTTAAAAATAATTTTAAAATATGTCAGAATCTAGATTATGCCTCTTCTAGTCATGCTAAAGTAGGATATTAGAATGTTTTTGTCAGCGCACTAACAGTATGTGTCGGTTCTCTGTTGCTGCAGCTGCTGAACGAGCGGCTGATGGGAGCTGAAGGGACGAAGCTGGATGAAGATTTCCTGAAGATGGAAAAGGTAAACGTTTGAACACGAGACATGAAAACTTAAGCTAGATCAGGGCCGACACTCACTTGTTCCTCTGTGTGTCCATCAGAGCGTCACAGCGATTCACATCCTGCTGGCCGAGCTGCTGTCCAAAACCACCGAGTTCCTGCAGCCAAACCCAGGTATCCAACACACAGCTGCATCACAGCTGTTCACAGGGCAGAGGGGGAGTCTGAACCAGCACAAAGAGGCTAAAAGGTCAACAAAGAGGCACAATTACTGGACAAATAGTTCTCCAAGTTATACACCTGATGAGTCATTTTAGCAACAATTTTAACAGTTTTTTGAAATGTATTTGAAGCAAAAATGCCAGAAATTCTCCGAAGCGGCTTCTCAGGTGTGACTCTTTGCTGGTTTCTCAGTTTTATTTGACAGTAAACTCAAAAATGGAAGGTTTTCCAACAGTTTTTCCAACAAAAAAAAGACATTTGAATGCTTAAGTGTAGATTTAGTTTGAGCACTTTCCTGCATTCTGGTGACTTTTCATGCAGAGATGAATTTATGTAAAGGAAAGCACTGTAACTGCCTCCTGCGTGTCTTTGTGTCTGTGCAGCGTATCGAGCCAAACTGAGCATGCTCAACACCATGTCCAGGATCCGAGGGCAGGGCAGGGCGACGGGTTACCCGCAGACAGAGGGCATGCTGGGAGATTGTATGCTGCACTACGGCCAGGAGCTCGGAGTCGCTTCTGAATTCGGTACAGCGTCGATCCAAAGATCCTTCAGTTGTCCACTTAACACGCCTGTTTTATTTTGTCAGACTGGCAGCAGTTTAGCCAGAATGTAGGCGACTTTTGTCTGTTTAGCAGCGTCCAGAGAAGTTTTATTCCTGAGGTTTATAGACTGTCAACATCAGGGAGATCCTCTAAAGTTGTTGATTGATTCGAACAAAATTTGCTCAGTTTTTTTTGTATGGTGAAAGAAAGACTAGAAAAGTCTCATCAAACTTAAACTTTTGAAGCTCTACATTGTCCTCAGCTAATGTTTAGGTTTTATGTTTACGCAGAAGCATGACAGTTGATTTTGTTTCTCCTCTTTAACCCCCTGAACTCTGAGCAATTTCTTTGTGTCTTTTGCTCCCGTCACATTTTTACTCACTGTGGGTTCATTTTTCGCTGCAATATGAAGTCCTGCACTTCTGTGGAAACAGCATAACCAGGACTAGAAGGAGCGGAAACTCAGAAACGTCTTCTGAGCAGAACAACACAGTTAGAATGCCATAAAAAAAAAAATCTATTTCTTTGATTATTTGTTTTGCAAAAATGGGGATAAACTAGAATCAACATGCACAACTACAAAGTATCCTCAAGTGTTATCAATACTGGAAAACGAAAGGCTCCTTATACTATAGATCGGCTCTAGTAAGATGTTTCACCATCAGCTGAATGTTTCTTCCAACAACTTGCTCCTCTGTTCACTGTTTCTGAGTCATGTGGCATTTTTTTTATTGCTCCAATATGTTTGATTTTTCCTCTCAGTCTCTCTTGTTGTCTCCTCTCTGCTCTGTGGAAACACTGCCTGCACTTCATCTTCAAAACTCTTAGAATTTTTGTCACGTGACTGCTGATCACAGCTGAGTCAGTCGTGGCGTCTCAGTTGTGGAGAAGAGCACAGGATTTTTTTATTTTATTTTTATTTTTTTGCAGAGTTGATGTAAACGCGAATTCTTAAATGGGATGTGAGTGACTTTAATGAAAAATCACTGTTTTAGGTTTAGATTTCAAATTGCACATCACACGTGATTAATTAAAGGGCAGTCAGAAAGTTGGAAATCCGATTTTTCTTCCTGTTTTTACAGTTTCTAGCTGATTAATGGTGTCATTTTTGGGGTTCAGAGAGTTAAACCACAGTTGAAGCTTCTTTAAACAATCCATGAGCTCCAACAGTCAGCAGCAGAAACACATCAGTCACTTCTCTGTTTGGTGTTTTTGACTCTGTTGCCTCTTCTCCTGTTTTTCTTTGTTCGGTTCTCTGTCCTCCGTCCAGGCGGCGCTCTGGCTGGTGTCGGTGAAGCTCTGCAGCAGGTCGCTCAGGCCAGAGACTCTCTGGACGTCAGCGTCAAACGTACCTTCATCGACCCGATGCAGGAGCTGCACAACTCTGAACTGAAGGACATCAGGGTGAGACGAGTTCATCAGGACACAAGAAAACACAGAAATACACAACTGAGGCTTCTGTTTTAAAGGTTAAAAGTTTCACGTCTTCCGGTTTATAATGAAACAGGTTCAGATTATTAGCAGACACACGTTTGTGGTTTTGAGTGAAAAATCTCAACAACTTTGGATGGACTGTGATGAAATGTTGTTCAGACGTCTTTCATGTTTCACTCAGGATGAAATCTAATAACTTTTCATCACGTCTGTGTTTTAATTAGAGGTTAATTGATTTTTTAGGGAACCTCATTATCAGATCTGATATTAAGCTTTTTATTTTTTTCAGATTTTTGACAGTATTATTATTATTATTATTATTATTATTATTATTATAATATTGTTGGAGTTTTTGTTTTTCTGAGATTTTAATTTTTACTGAAATATATAAATAATAATCAGTGTCAGTAAGTTCAGCTCCATAAAGTTGCTGTTGTGGCTGCAGATTCTTTTTGTGCAACATTTAGCTAAGAAGAAATGTTTGAGAACAAAAACATCTCATCCTTTTGGTCCAACAAGTCTAAAAACAATTCTAATTTAGTCAAGATGAGCAGTCATCATGTCCATTTTTTTCCGTTTGTTTCCTCAGTACCAGCTGAAGAAGGTAAACGGCCGTCGGCTGGATTTCGACTACAAGCGGCGGCGAAGAGGGAAAGTTCCCACAGAAGAGCTCCGGCAGGCCTGGGACAAGTTCATCACCTCCAAAGAGCTGGCGGAGAGGAGCATGTTCACCCTGCTGCAGAACGACGTGAGTTCCAACCCCAGAACCAGACTGAAGGAACTGATTGGATGGATGTGATTCTAGTGTTACAACAGTTTAACTCTGAATCTGGGTTATTCTGTCTCAAATCATCAGGACCTTCTGCTCAACCATCTCGGATTTGCTTGGATTTTTTTTTTGTCATACAAAACGGTGATGAAATTTTATCTTGATTCATCAAACACTTTCCAAGATGAAACTTTTTTGAAAACTGCCCGTCAGCCCACTTTCAGCAGCTTTTTGCTCACATTGAAATTAAGGCTATTTAGACGTCAGTATCTCAGGAACTCTCAAACATAAAAACCTGAACTTTTCTGTTATTTCTCATCATGACATTGATTCATAGTCTGCAATACTGTACTACTAAGTATTAGAGTATTATTAAACAGTGGGTCAACTTACAAACTTTATAAAAGGCACATTATCTCAGACAGTATTTGATATATTGTAAAGTTTCACAAATATCTTTATAAATATCCACATTTTATGCTATAAAATATTGAGGCAAACCAGAGACGGTCGAGCAGAAATTGTTCTATAAATTTGTGTTTCCTCCTGCAGATGGATCAGCTCGGTCGTCTGGCCACTCTGGTCGCCGCGCTGCTCGACTTCCACCGCAGCGCTCACCGCATCCTGCAGGGTCTCCATGGCAACATGCAGGCCAGGTGAGGTTCATCCCACTCTGACATCCCTTTAAAACCACAGCGGTGGAATTTAACAAAGTACATTTACTCAACTAAAAACCATCTGTTGAGTCCAGCTTTTCATTCGTGTCTTCTAATTTCACTGTATTAATATTTATGCTATTATTCATGAATTCCTTTTGTGAGACTTCTGCATTTTCAGCTTTTGTTGTCAGATAGATGACTCTGTGGTTGAAAAAATGGAAAGATGCTACAATTAATACATAATTTAACAATAATTTCCTGCAAACAAGCATTTCTTACACTCAAAACAACAACATAGACTAAAAATGAAGAGTAAAAGCAGAATTTATCCATGATATGAACTGAGAGGTGTAGATGAGTTGACTTAGAATGACGCTTTTGTTGTTTTTTAATTACACTAAGAGATTATTGACTACTGTCTTTACACATTTGCAATGACAATAAAGAAATCGTATTGTATTTTCTACCGTTGCATTTATCTCTACATGTCCTTATGTCTATATGTTGTAAAACAGGCTGACGGCTGCCAGCAACAAACCGGAGCGACGGTTCCGACCCAAGAAGATCCGAGTCAGAAGCGACCACAGCAACAGCATTGGATTTTACCACCAGCCGTCTGCTGTTTCCTCAGGTCACACTCACATGCTGTTTAAATATCTTACTCTCATGTGTTGTAAATGTTATTCGGACTGTTGGTTGTTTGATTGTGTAAGATTTTAAACTTGTGTTTTCTTTGTATACTTGTGCAGGAGAGCAGTTCACAGTGTTACCGTCCAGACCCGGCAGCCCCATCTCCTGTTACGGTAAGAAAATAGATGTTTTCATCAAATATGATGTCATGTTGACATTTACAGAAGCAATACACAACTTTTTATACTTGTGACAACTTAAAATACAGTTTGATTTCCAAACCTCATCACTAGTCCAAATCCTAAAAGGTTTCCATGTCATCTGATTCAAAAGAATCTAATAAAAACTGTACAATTTACATAACTGTCATCAGATGTGTTGTACAACTGTGGTTTTTAGTTTTACAAGAGAAAAGATAAAGAGGAGTTACTGTCTGATAAAGAGCAGCCAAAACATAACAGATTCTGATTCACACAAAGGGACATTTTTACTTAGTTATGCTACTAGAGTGTATTTTTATCCACTGTTGATGCAAAACAGCAACTAACTATTGTTTTTTCAGTCATTAAATAATCATTTTGTCTTTAAAATGACAGAAAATAGTGAAACCTGCACACAGTGTCCACTTTCACAACTTAGAGGTTTTCACATGACCTAAATTGAGATTTATAGAAAAAAACTGTACAATTTACACTTTGTCAGATGTGTTTTTAAACTGTGTGCTGTGTTGTTTTATAAGAGAAAGACTAAAAAATAAAGAAGAGTTACCATTTGATAAAGAGCAGTTGAGCTTTTTTTACTTTGTTGTAGTACGAGAGGACATTTTTATTCTCTGTTGATGAAGAGCGGCAACTAACAAACATTTTTTCAATTGTTAATTAATCTTTTTGTCTATAAAATGGCAGAAAATAGCAAAGAACACACATAAAAGTGTCCAGTTTCACAATTTAAAGGTTTCCCCATGACCTGAATTAAGGTTTACAGACGATGTTTTTATCCACTGTTGATGGAGAGGCAACTTACAGTCGTTTTTTCAGCCACTAATTAATCGTTATGTGTATAAAATGAAAGAAAACAGTGATAACCACAAATGAAAGTGATTCTATTGACTAACTGGTATATGAGTAGCAGGATGCAGCAAATATTTGACATTTGTGATTAAAAAACATAATTTTATTATGAAAATAGTTGATGATTAACTTCCTTGTTGCAGCTCCAAACACTTTATAATAGTTTTTCTCTCGACAGCTTCCACTTTGACATCTGTCATGAACAAAACCTCTCTCTCACTCTCTCTCTGTGTCACGGTGTCTCTCGCCCAGCCGACAGCAAGCTGGTCCTGGATCAGCCTTGTTGCCGAGCGCTGTACTCCTTCCTGCCAAACCACGAGGGCGAGCTGGGCTTCAGCGAGGGCGACGTGATCGTGCTCACCGGCCGGGCCGACGCCAACTGGTACGAGGGCACGCTGGGCGGCCGCTCGGGCCTCTTCCCCGTCAGCTACGTGGACGTGCTGGTGCCTCTGCCGTTACCGTGACGACGCGTCAAACATCACACGGACAGTCGACGTTAGGAATGCGGGGAGCGCGGGAGAAAATATGCAAGTTCTCAGCTTCTTATTTGCACTTTTTCACAATCAGTCAAAGGAAAGGAAGGCCATAGTTTCTGCAGTGGAGCAGCGGTTCCCAAAGAGGGCGCCTCGAGGGAAATGTTTTCTTTCATCATAAAAACAAAAAATTATGAAATAGGGAAGTAGGAAGCTAAACGTCACTGCAACGAGACCTGTTCTATGGGTTTTTCAGGCCTCTATGCAGATGATGTGTTTCTGTTGCTTCATCAGGAAAACGGTGGGATGATTTCTGCAGGTTGGGAGTTAGCTGCTTCCCCAAGTGAAAGAGTTTAAGTATCTCAGGGTTTTGTGCAGAGTGAGGGTGAAATGGAACAAAAAATGGTGCAGCTCAGCAGGGATGAAGGTTGTTGTCATGAGCTTTGTGTAGTGATAACAGAATAATAAGTTTCTTCTGTTGGGAGGTTCAGGTCCACCTTAGACATGAAGTGGAGGCGCTTGTAGTCGAGCGGCTGCTGCTTCAAGAGGTGAGTTGAAGTGGTTTGGAGCGTCCATAATAACAATTATAATAACAATCTTTATTTATCGCACACTTTTTAACACCCAAGTTACAAAGTGCTTCACAAAACAACAAAATGAAGTCAGATAAAACACAGTTGGGTGTTAAGAAAAGCTAATGCAGTGTTAGAAAAGGTAAAAACACTTTTTAAACACATAAAAAAAAACATTCAAATGACATTAAAACTCAGATAAAATCAGGTCAGGATCTGATTAAAGTAGGTTTTAAGAAAAATGGTTTCTAGTTGTCAGGATTCTTCATGACAACTTTCACTGGAGCTTGTACAGGCATGTCCAACTTCCATCTTTTGTGGTGGTTTGTGCTCATTGAGGCACAAATCTTATGCCTTGTGATTTATTTTACCATTTTGGCAGACATCAGAGAAGCACAATGAAAGACTCTTGCAGCTCAGAAGAACAGACCTACAAACCAGAGAGGATGATAGTAATAACAATATAATATCTGCAGGAGTCTCCATAACACTCTCATTGTCCTTGGTTATCTTGGTTTAATTAATAGATAAACAGACTTGTTTTATTTTTTTAAACTTTGCTTCATTCTGTACGTTGCCTCCATTAAACCAGAGAAGCAACACATTGGGGGCTGGTCCAGGATTGTCTCAGTCATTTAGGGATCACAGTTTGTTAATGTCTCTTAGATTCTCTCAAAATCTGATGATTTTTCCTGCTTCCTGACACAACAACTTCAAGAACTGAGTGTTCACCTGCTGCTGATGACTATATCAAACCCACTGACCGGAGACATTGTAAGCAGATAGTCAGTGGTATTCACAATGAAAGATGAGGTCTGGTGCTTGTCGCGGCTCCAAAAATAGACCTTAGAAAGGATAGTAGTAAGGACAGGTTTACTTGGTGAAAACCTGGTAGGCAGACAAGGGAAAAGGGCAAAAACTCAGAGTCAAGTGAGGGACATGAGGGTTAAACAGGCAATAAACAAACTCTACTGGGATGGGAAACACCAACAAGCATTGGTAAGATGTACAAAGGCTGGTGTACAGTGGAAGATCTGGTAGGAGTGGACTTGTTTAGCATGAATGACTAAATGCCAAACCACAACAGCCTCTTTTAACCTGATTGAAAAGAACACAAATACATAACCTCCCAACTTCTTTGGAGCCTGCTGGTCCTTTACCTGCAGACTAGGGCTGCATGATATTGAAATTATTTGACATTGTGATATTTTGCTGTTCTGTGATTAATATTGCAATATGAAAAAGCCATTAGTTCATCTACTGGCTAAAATGTGTCTGCTTACAGACTTCAAATAAGCCATATTTGAAGTTGACAAAAGATAGACGAATGTCAACAGGCCGGTTTTGAAAGTCTTGATAGAACATGCCATGAAAGAATAATGTTTGGGAACCGCTGCTCTGAAGCTCCTTAGTTTCTGACCCGTGGGTATCTCAAGTTATACTTTAAAGGATGTTGTTGCTGATTTTCTTTATTTTTCTTACAGTCAACAAGCCACTCTGTTGTACTGCAGGTATGTTTCCTACATGGCACCAGTTCCATTCTTGTTTGTGAATGTAAACCATTTGCCATATTTTCACCAAAAACAGGATGAAACAGCTAGTTTACCATGATAACTGGAAACAGCCACCTTAACTTAGGATAAAGACTAGAAACAACGGTAAATGGCTAGTTTAGCTTAGCGTGAAGTATGAAGACTGGAAAGAGCGAGCTTAATGTAGTATAAAGATAAATAGGGGAAACAGATAGCTTTACTTAGTATGACGATGGGAAATGGAGCGATAGCTGGGTTAACTTAGCATACAGATAAACAAGAGTAGACAGCTAGCTTAGCATTAGGACTGGAAACAGCTAGGATAACATAACTTAGGATAAATCCTACAAACAAGGCTAAACATTTAGACTATCATGAAGACCGGAAATAGGGGGAAACAGCTAGCTTTCCTGCATAAAGATTGGCAACAACTAGCTTAACTTGGAATGAAGACTGGAAATGGAGCAACAGCTAGCTTCACTTAGCATGAAGACTGGAAACAGCTAGCTTAGCTTAACACAAACACTGTAAACAGGGAAACTGCTATCTTTGCATAGCATAAAGACTGGAAGCAGGGGAAACAGCTAGTTAGCTTAGCATGAAGACTTGAAATATTGTGATGGGAAAGTTTTCTACAAACCAGTGATTCACAAGGTGGCATCCTGATTCTATGTCTCCAGAATAGAACTGATACGAGAAGCAAAACTTTTCTAATGGAAATTCAAAATGCCTGCAGATACACAGATCACTTTCATACTTTCCAGAGTCGGGACATTTCCTAGAACGTGTTGACTGTAAGAAAAACCTAGAAAAAATATCCTTTAACACAGAGAAGAGAAGCTCCGTCAGTAAACACAACATTCTTACACTTTTTCCCTTTAAGCCTTTGAGCTACGTTTCCTTCACAAACAGCCTTTTACGTCACTGCACATTTACTCTTCAGTCTGAGACAAACTGCAGACTGCTGTGAACAGATAATTGCTGTATCTGAGTACATCAGCCACTGTAGTCTTTAATTCTGGGGTAAAATAGAGTAAAAATAGAGATTACAGTTGTGTGATGGATGGTTTGTCCACTGACACTCTGCATGTACTTTAAGCGAAGCTGTTGTAGGTTGTCGGTACTTTATCAGAAGCTTTATGAGACTCAGGTCAGGATGGTAAACAAATTGACAAAAAACGATACAGAAGTTAGAATTGGGTTTTTTGGAGTTTTGCTGTAGAGGTCATCAGTTTAAGTGCTGGGAAATTGTAAACTGAAAAGACAAGTGCTTGTTTTTACTCTAGATAGCTTTAACAGTATTTAGTATAATAAATACAGAGTCACTACAAAACAGCATTTAGACTGTTGTAAAATATATTTAAAGCGTAAACAAGCAGACATCAAACATGCTAAAAGCTCTATAAACACTGGAACATCTCTTGAAACAGGTTAAAGGTTATTGTGCACCAACACTGAGAATTCTGGGATCGTTTTGAAGGAAGACTTTGACATTTGGTGAAATCCTTTTCTTGCATTTTTCAATTTTCATTCATTTCACTCCATAAGAAAGCAGACCCTCACTGAGCACTTTTTAGGAACACAAATACGATCCAGGTCAATAGCTGTGCTGTTAATTATACATTTACAAAGTTTCTACAAGTCAGGAACAGGCAGCATAGCTTAGTATTGAAAATGGAAACAGGGGTAAAAACAGCTAGCTTAGCTTACCATAAAGTTTGGAGACAGGGTGTACCGCTAACATAGCTTAGTAAAGAAACTGGAGAAAGAAGAAAACAACTAGCTTAGCAGAAAGACTGGAAGCAGCTTGCAGCCGCTAGCTTAGCTTAGCACAAAGATGTGGAGTGGGGAAAATGGCTAACTTAACTTGGCATAAAGACTGCAAACAAGGGAAACAGCTAGCTTAGTTAAGAATGAAAATATGGAACAGAGGGAAACAGCTACCTTAACTTAGTATAGACACTGGAAACCATGGAAACAGCTTGCTTAGCATAGCATAAACACTTGAAACAAGGGATACAGCTAGCTGAACTTAGGTTAGAGATGGACAGGGAAAACAGCTAATGTGGTTTAGCATGAAAACTGGAAACAGGGTAATACAGCCAGCTTAGCTTTTATCTGTACAGCACCAAATCATAATGTAAGTCACCACATGTGTAAACATGCAAAGTTTATATTCACATGTTCAAGTTCAAGACCTTACTTTACTGAATTATACAGAGAACCCAAAGAAGTTTCCCTTTGAGCAAACACTGTTGAGAAACATTCAAACAATAAAACACTGAGCAGGTTTTACTGTAAGCAACAAAAGGTCTCTTTTCTAAAAATGTCAAACTGTTCCTTTAAATCTCAGAGCTCAGTGTGATGGAGACTGTTGGTTTGTGTTGACACCAGCCTGAGCTGAAGCTGCTGCTTTTGTTTTAGTTAGAAACACAGACTGTACATAAATTAGAGCACATACAATCAGCCTCAGTGTATTTCACAAAATGTCCCTTTAATAGACAGCTAGTTAAAAAATAAACCTGCAGTTAACACAGAATAGACCAGTGTAATTAATATTGACTGTTGTAGCTGACATAAGAAACCGTACTGTTGTGGATTTTCTGGTTTTACATGATAAATGAATCACTGCACATGAATGTAATAAAATAATAAAATGTGTATAGCTTAGCTTTTTCTTGTGAGGCTGAGAGGAAGCACAGACACAGTTTTATTCCTCTCATTCAGGGAAAAGTCCAGTCCGTCTGCAGAATGTTTCTACAGTATGTTTGGTGTTAAACTAAACAGACAGCTGGAAAATATTCCTAAATATCATCATTTGAATATCCACCATCACTGATGTTCCTCAGATTGATATTGTTTCAGTGAAAGACACTTTCTTTGAGGTAATAACAGAAGCTTTGTGCTGTTTGAAATAAACTCAGAGATGTATTAGATGTCTGATTATCTGCATGGTGACTGTTAAGCTGATTTTTAAGTCATTTTTGCAGCACTACAGAATCCTGTTATTCCTCTATGAACACAGATATTTGTTGTACAAACTCAGAATGTATTTCTGCAATAATTTCTTTGAGTAATAAATGTTCTTTCATGTCGAATTTTTAGCCTTCTTTGTTTTTATTTTTACATTTATTTATTTGTAAGTGGCAACCTATGGAACCGGCCTTTCAATAAAACAATTTTTGTGTTCCTATTTATTTATATCAATAAAGTAATGGAATACTTTACATTTATTATGACACAAAAAAAATAATAGGAACTGAATTATGTAATGTAATAAACAAAATCACGTAACATTTGTCGGTTTGTTATTCTGTGGTATGTTTTGCTGTTTGGTCTTCCTTACATTGAACAATCTGAATATTACCCTTCACTGATTTATTTTTGATGTTGAAATCCATAAAACACTGTGAAAACACAATATAGACGATATATGTTGAAAACCTGGACTATGTGGACCAAAGAAACACAAAATGATCTGTTTAAATACTGTGTTTAACCAGAAATCTGCCAACTATGAACTCTGTCTCACATCCATAAAACTACACGGACAGATCATTTATACAGATGTCACAAAGAAAAATATACCCAGCGTGTATGTACATGTTCATTTTCATCTATTTTATTGTTGATTATTGCAGCAGTACACAAATACATGTAATTGCACCTAAATTAGCAAGCAGTCAGTCTATCTCTTTGACTCTTAAAGACATAAAATAAACACAAAAAAATAATGAATATATAAATTTAAAAATAGGGATTAGCTTATTGTCGTTTTAATCATTTCGTTTAATGCAAAAATATACTATTTCCTGGTTATCAGTATATACTGTTGTTGTAGTAGCAGCCTCCGGCCGGCGTGTGTCGCTGCAGGCGGCGCTCGTCTCTGATCCGCTTGCGGGTTTAAACTTCCACCGGAAGTCTGCTTGTCCTCTTCTACCAGGCCGATCCAACATGGTGGGTGAATTTTCTGTTCCTATCTGAGCTATCTAACATAATCTTGCAAGTTTGTCGGTTTATATTCCTCGCTATCGACATCCACGGATACCGGAGCCGTTACTCTACCTGCTGCCCGCTATATTGACGTTAGATGACCCAAACTGAGCGGATTATTGGTGTTTTTGTGGCGGAGCGGTGCCGCTAACGGAGCCGCTGAATGTTCGGCTGAATGAGCCGAGGTTCGTGTTCGTGTTATCAACCGTTCAAGTGGACGGGAGAAGCAAAATAACCCCGCCGTTATTTGATTATTTCTGATTTTTTGACGTGCTGTTTGAACGGTTAAGCTTGTGATAATTAATATTATATCGGTTGGTTAGCTCTGGAAGCTAAACCGTAGCTAGCTTGTCTGCCTGGAACGAGGCTAGCGCTTCTCCCGGAGGCAGAGCAGCAGGAGGGCTGATGTTAGCGTGATTTTTCTCTGATTAAAATGTGTTGAAGGTCGATTAAACCGAACCGATTTATCGAGATTTAATTTTTTCTTGCAGGCAAGCAGAAAATCCAGAGTTAGAACCCTGATAATTCGTTTAATCCAACCAAATGTACAGCTTCAGACGCACGTGAAATTCTGTTAACTACAGGTGTGAATGTGTGCAGGTATATATCAAGATTATGAGTTACAACCTAAAATCGGCAGCTTACGAACTTATTTTCGTCTTCACGGGCAGATCCGAGCTGGTTGAATGGGTTTAATATTGTAAATTGATAATACTTACATGTGGAGCATTTAAAAACTGAAGTGATTTTAATACTGATAGAAAACTAATGGTAGCAGATAAGCATACGAGTCAAAAAGGGTTAAAAACTAAAATATAAAAAACAACTTTGGACAGCCTGGATAGGAGTATGTACTTTAAACGTGTAGGATTTGACTGGTGTTAAATCTAGTTTCTGTATAGTTAGATTATGTAAAACCTGCTACGTCTGATCCATTTTCTCCAGGAATTGATTGGACCTTAGGTTTTATGAATTAAGCGTTTATTTCACCTTATTGTCGTGTCAGAGTCCAGTAGACAGTTTCCTGCTGTGTGGGTCACATCCACTCCTAATTATCACTGAGGCATTTGTTGCCCTCTTTCGGACAAAATATTTAACGTGCAGATGATAACGAAGTCATAGATTCGATCATACTAGTCTACGGTCCTACTGTTTTTTGATTAGTTTGTATTTATCTTGTTTGAATGAGTTGTTACAGTTAATTTGTGTAAGATTTTGTCTCGTAGCAGTTCTCCGTTGGGTAATGTATCCAGGAATCAAACCATGTCGAGGCATTCTTGAAAATACAGATTTTTGAAAACTTAAAATTAATTGTGCTCTTAAGTTTAGGGGGTAAACTCTGGAGATACTCCACAGAAACATAAAGGAGCAGCTTCTTAGCCTGACAACTAATATTTAAAAGATCCGAGCATTGTGTGACAGACCTGCTGTTTTAGGCTCAACTCCTGCCGTGAGATTAATGCGAATGTTTTTCAGAGTGAGAGCGAAACCCGAGTGTGTACGTGACCGTATTCTCTAACTGTAATTGCTGAACGTTTGTCTGTCTGCAGGGACGAGTCAGGACCAAGACGGTGAAGAAGGCCGCCAGGGTCATCATCGAGAAATACTACACCCGGCTGGGCAATGACTTCCACACCAACAAGAGGGTGTGTGAGGAGATCGCCATCATCCCAAGCAAGAAGCTCCGCAACAAGATCGCCGGGTGAGTCAGTCAGTGGGTGCTGGTGACGGAGGAGCGCGTTATATTACAGCATCCAAGTTGTGATCTAAAGCAGGGCAAGAAAATTGAAATCGATCGTGCTTTAACTTTTTTGCTGCCTGAAGCAAAACAAAAGCTTGCAGTTTTCATTTTAAACAGCCACAACAGGGCAGCCTTTACTAGACTTATTTAAAAGACAGAGTTTGTTGTACGTCCACATTCGAACAGAAAAATGAATGAGGAACCAAAAAGAAATGATGAGAAGGAAGATTTGGGGGCAAAAAGAAAACATGTCGGTTGTGTGGAATTATTTAGGATACCGAAAGGATGACGTTGACTAAAAACAGGTATTCAGTCTGGCAGTTGTTGCCACCGCAAGAGTCAACACAACTAATTAGTTTGACCATTTAGCATCACAAAGCTCTGTACGACGAGTGGAAAGCCTCATGTGAATATTATTGGAAGCAAACCAAAAAAAAATGTTTTGGATGCCTTTTCCAATGTTACACTATAAAGGAAGGGTTCTCAATAGCTTCTTACATGTTGTTTTGTTGTGATGCAAATGTACTTTGCTATAAATTAATGTGTATATATCACTCTGATCATTCTGGAATTAAAATTATTTCCAATTACAGTAATTCCAGTCATCTGGTGAAAACTCATGTATTTCCTCATATTGCAGAAAATCAGAATATTACTGTTTTTCCTTCACCCTGTATCGAAAGTGACCATGGCGTCCTTGTAGCCAGGTCATTGATAGTACAGGAACATGAACCTGCGAGCCTTTCCCGTGTTTGAAGGATCCTCAGTTCCTGTCAGACCCTGATGCTCTCAAACATTCGTAAAACATCCGTCCTGAATTGTTTACTTTTATTAGCTTTAAATGTTTAACTTCAGTGTGCGTGCAGCTCTACCTGTATGTCTGACCGCTTTATCTGCTGCTGCTGCTGCTGCAGGTATGTGACACATCTGATGAAGAGGATCCAGAGGGGTCCGGTCAGAGGAATCTCCATCAAGCTGCAGGAGGAGGAGAGAGAGAGGAGGGACAACTACGTTCCAGAGGTCAGTGAACGCATCACCACGCTGCTTTTAACAGAGCTGTTCACACAGACTGAACTTTTTTGGGGTCATGATGAGAATGTGGAGCTGCTGCTGTTTCATATAGGAGTGGTTTTATCTGGTAGTGGGCTGCTGGTGACTGGATGTTTATGTAGTTTTTCTTTATATTGCGCCATCCTGTAGTTGTGCAGTAAATTCCCTTTTGACTACTGTGATGTTCTAATGACAGCTGTTGAATTACCTGCTGATTTCCGAGGCTGGAGTTTGTAATTGTTGTGTGTAATTGGGCAAATAACTGAACTTTTATCGCATTGTGAGTTACTGGAGAGCTGAATCATGTTCACGTTAGAGGTGGCCTGATCAGAGTTGGGGGTTTTTTTCGTCCTTGAGCCCCACCCGAGTCATTACATATTAAGAATCAGCTGGTTCAGAGTCAGATGTGATATTTATACTTACCTAAAAATTGATTAAGTATATATTTTGCACATTAACATTTGCAAAATCAGCCAGGGTGGCTTATTTAAGAGGTTTCTTTGAAGGAAAGTTTAAGTGGGAGAGCAACAGAAACATTTGAGTTACAGAGTGACGCCTTTTTCTTTGGTGTCAAACACTGAAGACTAATGTCACATAAATGCAAATCTACGATTCGGCTGCTGGCAGAATCATTTTTCTTTCTAAATAGAAAGTTTGATTTAATTTTGTTCTGCTATAAAGTTACTCATTAATTAGATTGAAGTAGTGACGAGTGATATGAGACACCTGCTGCTGCATTTCACGTTTTAAACGGTGACGATGAGGAGCTAATTCCTGAGTATGCTCTACTCTGATCTTTACTGTAAACAGAAAGTCACCAGCTTTGTGTTTTACTGTGTTCCCAGGTACATTTTCACATTCATACATCTGAGATTTTTTTTCTTTGCTCGTATGCAGTAAAATGCTGCAGTGTGGAGTTAAAAGTCATCGTTAGTCTGAGGCACTGAATTATTCTAGCTGCATGGTTCTGGCTAAAATGAAGATGTCAGCTGTATGTTTGTCTACATTTTCCCTGTATCGAAAGTGACCATGGCGTCTCTGTAGCCAGGTCATTGATAGTACAGGAACATGAACCTGCGAGCATTTTCCCGTGTTTGAAGGATCCTCAGTTCCTTTCGAACCCTGGCGCTCTCAGACAGGACCTCACAGTGCAGCAATCATCTGCATCAGAGGGACACAAACTCAAGACCGAATGATGGATAATGTTCAGTGTATCGACCTTTATAGATCATGATGTGTAAATGATGATATTCACGGCTATTTTCTTTTTAAACAAGTGGACAGTAATGAGCTGATGTGGGGGTTTTTGTGATGTAGGGATGCAGAAGGTGTTTGCTTTTTCCAGACAGCTCCTTCTCGTTTATCTTTGAGTCCTTAAACACATCACAAAAACACCATTGTCTGTTTTTAGAGTTCTGTAAAGTCTTATTTCTTTTTTTATGAAAGGTCTAAAATTTTGAGATTGTGTTGAAAATGCTCAAACCACAGGATTTAAGGTTAATTTTTGAACATACAGTGAGTTGTTTTTGGTCTAATCAGAGTCTAGCTTTGTCTTTACAGTTAATTCTGTTTAACATATACCCATGTTAATACTGTCAGATTGTGTTTAAACACATTGCCCTGCTTGTAAAGACCCTGCATAGGTTCCGTTTTCATGTTGACATCTTAAAGCGTTTAATTTTAAGTGTGCATGTAGTGGGGTTTTAGTAAAATTATCAAAGCATTTAATATGAAATCGCAGCTGGAAGTTGTGATTCATTTTGAGGAATACATGCCGAAGGATGATCTTTCTGTGAAGCTCTTCTGCAGTGCATCTGTTTTTTTTAGCAAATTAATTATGAAGCATTTTAAAAACAAAAATGCTTAAAGCTCAGATCAGTCATGGCTGCAGCTTTTACGCCGCTCTGTGTGCGTGAACGAGGTCTTGGCAGGAAGAAAAACCTTCTATTGTTCATTGTGTAAGAAAAGCTGGAGGTGATACAGAAACAGCCTTTTGAAGTCATTAAAAATGAAAGGTTTTTGTAGGGCAAAAGAAAAAAAATCAGCACACATCGTTTATTGTTTGTGGTCCTCTAACTTTTAACATCACACCGAAATTCTGCTATTTTTGGTTTTTAATCTTGTGACTATTTGGTACACGCCAAATAAAGAGACAAGCATCGTAGGATTATGTCCTTCCTGCATGCAGACATTTTCTCTTAACGTTGCACAGAAAACGGCGTAAACTTGATTTCCTCTTTGCTTCAGGGAGCTCAGCTCAGACCAAACTTATACTGAGTAAAATAGAAAGTGTAAAAAGTCACTGATCAGAGTTTGTGGTTTGATAAAAGATGGCTGACGGTGTGATTGTGTGTCTACCTGTGCAGGTGTCTGCTCTGGACCAGGAGCTCATTGAGGTTGACCCCGACACCAAGGAGATGCTGAAGCTGCTGGTAAGTGTCGCTCTGACTAAATACATTCACTCAAGTACAATTTAGAGACGTGTAAGTGTTTTTATATGAAGATGCTCTAATGTGTAACAGCACGACGTTCACCTGACAGCTGGAGTTACAGTCTGTTGCAGGAAAAACTACCTTAGAAACCTGTAGAAGTTTCTAAAATGCACAATAACAAGTACAATCAGCCTGTGAAATATTAATATTCTGCACGTCTGTCAGCTTCCCTCTGTCGGTTTGTGTCTTTGTAGTCGTGCTCATTTTTCTTACCTGTCTGTTGTGTTTCGTTTTGTGTCACTTTCTAATCATTGTGCGCCTCATTTTGCGTGATTGCAGTTTTTTTTTTCTCATCTTCGTCTCGTCTTTGTGGTCCATTCATCACTTGGAGCTCTTCTGTATCTCTGTGTTGTCGTTCTTTGTCTTTGTAGTTGTGTTGCATCTCTGTAGTTGCTCTGAATCTGTGGCTGTGTCGTATTTGTAGTCACTGCGCTTCCTTTTGTGGTTGTTTTGTGACTGTTTGTCCTTCTTTTTGTATTATATCTCGTCTAGCATCTTTTTTTTTGTCATCGTTTTGTGTCATTTGGTTGTTTTGTGTGCTTTGCATCTTGTGTTTCTTTCATGTCGTATTATATCTTATTTTGTGTCACTTTCGGGTCATTTTTCATCTCATTTTATGTCTTTGGGGGGAAAAAAGCACCTTGTTTTGCATATTTGCTGACACAGAATCGCTTGTTTTTGTATCTTTGTAGTTGTTTTGCATCTCTGTCGTGACTCTAAATCTCTGGACGTTTTGTGTTACAGTCCAAAAAGATTCAGTTTTTTGTCATGGAGGAGGAAAGAAACCAGAAAATATTCACATTTAAGAAGCTATAGTCTGAACATTTTTCTTAAAAAAAAAAAAAAAAATCCCCCAAACTGATTTAACTGATCATCAAAGTCGTGCCTCATTTTAAAGTTTACAGCTAATTGATTAAATGTCGGCGCTCCTCCTCCTTCATGATGTTAATGTACCGGTAAAAAGATTTGTAATATAGATGAACGTCAAGGATTAAAAGGCACAGTCCAACTAGAAATGAGTGTTAAAAGATGTGAAGTAAAAACCAGAGCTGTCGTTTTTAATGATGTGGCGACTCTTTGATCAGGCGGCTTTCAGAGCTCGTTGGTGTTAACGAACATCAGATAAAGTTTCTGTGCTGAATGCAGAGCAGCAACATAATGATAAGACGATCAAAGATGGTCTGAGAAACTTCCAGCAGCTTAATCAGTGAATGACTATTTTTTTTGTAACACCAAACTTTAATTTCTGTTGTTACAGCGGTAATTAATTCCTGCTTTCTAGACTTTATTCTTAGTTTTAAGACCAGTCAGGTATTTACAGATGCTGCCTCCGGCCCTGTGTTCATGTTTGTAAATGGGAGAGGCTTTAATGGGTCCAGTTGTTTCCCAGTAAAGCTTTTATCTCCATCAAATAACCGCGAAACTACTCCTCTAACCGAAGCCTGAGTCAATGATGGTGGTGAACGGGGAAACCATCCAACATGCTCGCTGTAGTTAAGACAATAAAAGCCCCGAAGACTGTCGCTGTAACCATCATCCCTGCTTCCTCAGTGGGCTGCTGCATTCAGCCGTTTAACACAATGTCATTAGCACAGACATCTGAACTTTTTCTCACTAAAGTTTTTTCTAAAACAACACATATCAACCCACAGTGGTTTCCAAAACAGAAATAAGTTTGTATTGTTATGCGTTTAGCTGACAAGTTAAAAAAAAGGAAAATTTAGATTTCAATAAGACCCTTAAAGCTTTTAGTCTCAAAATTTGGTTTATAGAAGTCTTAAACGTTATCCGTTTGTCTTTTGTCCATTTATCAATCCGAAGAGACAAAGATCTTCATATTTTTTATGCAAAAACAGGAAATTTTACAAATGAATTTGCTTGAAAAAGGGACACATTTCAACAGTTAATCAGCTGATAGCTGCAACTCTTAAATAGTTACTAGATGTTAAATGTAGTTTCTGGAAGTCATTAATATTGACTTGAGCGTTTTACTTTTGTCCTTGTAGAAGTCTGAAAATGTCATTTTCTGCCACAAAAGACAAAAATCTTCATATTTTGTTGCTAAAACTGCCATCCTATTTGCCGTAAAAGACTAAATGTGGGACTTCTCTTTTGGTGAAACATGAACTGAGTCAGTCTGTGCATTCTGCTGCTCATCAGGTTTTACACATGTATGTAATTCTACTCTTAGGAATCACTCTTAAATGCAGCTGTTAGTGTGATATCATAGCCTGAACCTGCAAAAACCCTCAAAGAACCACATTTAATCAATAGATTGCTGCGCCGTCTGTCTGTTCGTTGCAGTTGGTTTGGGTTTGTTTCTTTTTCCTTCACCCTGTATCGAAAGGTGATCATGGCGTCTTGTAGCCTGGTCATTTAAAAAATACAGGAACATGAACGTGGGAGCCTTTCCCTGTGTTTGCAGGACTGTCGCTTCCTGTCAGACCTCGGCGCTCTCAGACACATTTACAACCTGCAGCTGTCTCACCTGTGCAGGTACAAACCACCGCTCACCCGTCTGTGTTTGTCTCTTTTGTCTCAGGACTTCGGCAGTCTGTCCAACCTGCAGGTCACCCAACCCACCGTCGGCATGAACTTCAAGCAGCCCCGAGGAGTCTAGACGTCTGTAAAGTATCTTCCTAATAAAAACCCTTCTGGGGACAAAAAAAACCCTCGGCTGTGCAGGACTGTTGATTTGTCGGACGTCTCAGTTTTGTGTGTTTACATCCTCCAGACTTTGTGCTTTTTAAATTATCTTTCAGTGTAGATAGACAGACGAGGTGTGCTTTTAAATGCACGAGGAAAACCAACAGTCCCATCAGTTACTGGCTCAGATCTTCTGTGATTTTTAATGTTTTGATCTGTCAAAAAAGGATGTTTAATGTGGATTATGACAATAAATTCCCCTCAATTGCAGCAGGAGTTTAAAAAAACAACCCTGAGTATGAGTTGAACTGCTCGTTTCTATTGTTTTGTGACTTTTTCTTGTTATATTGATAGAAAATAAAATCCAGCTGGTTCCTTTAAACTGCATTTCCTTCCATATAAGTTTAATTTTTTTCCCTAAAATGTCGAAGAAAAGCAAACCGAATGCTCCTGTACCACCTTAACCTTGAAAAGAAGTCTCATTTTTAATTCTCTCAAGGCGTCATGGGACTGTTTTTAATGTTTAAGCATTAACTTCTATTTTGCCGACGTGTAGAAATCAATAAAACAAAGAGGAGTCGCTGTTTTAAAAGCAAGATAAAACACCTTTTATTGCAGCACACAACCAGAGCTCTAGATGCTACTTTACAGAGTTTAGGTTTTCATGTATTTATATATTTATATACTTGTGAAATATACAGTTTTTTTAAAATATCCGCGATCCCGTTTGGCTCATAAGCACTTGAGCAGGAAGAAGTTGCACAGAGCTCCTCGGGGGCAGTCGCACATCTTCCCGATGCGAGATCCTTTCCTGACGGCGCAGTGCTCCCCGAGGTCACACTGGAAACACAAACAGGCATTTTTGTTTTAGACTTTTAAAATAAAAAGTGGAAACAGGCAGCTGCTTCAGAAAGTGTTCAGACCTTCAGGTTGAGTGATTTCTGACAACCTACAATCAAGAACCCTTAAAGACAAATCATGTTGGGTGTTTCTGCAGCTGAAATTAGTCTAACTCTACTTCAAGATATCTTTAATTACCCATAATTCAATGTATCTACGTTGTCCTTTTTAGATTTTTCAATTAGGTTTGAATCAGAGTGATGTAGAAAACCTCAATCTGGAGTTCTGTGTAGTCTAAATATAATCACACATCTTGAATTAGAGTTTCTGAGGTTGCAGATTTCTGTAGTTGAGCTTTTTAAATCCTAAAGATGGTCAGAGCAGCCTGAAGTCAAAGTTCTGGTAAATTTCAAAGATAAATCTGATGAACGAAGCTCCTGAAGCTTTGACTGAGCAGCATCAGGCACAACAAGTTATGACTGACATGTCTGCAGCTGGTTTTCTGACTAATCCAAACCGAACTACAGAGGTTTTATCTGTCATTTTAATTCCTAATTGTCAAACTCAGCAATTAAATGTTAAAACAGCTTCTAATAGACGCAACTGTGTTCACACTGAGGACGAAAGCAAAGACATGAAGACCAACGACTGTGATCAATCTGGTGAAGGTATAAAACCATCTCCGTGTGAATGTTCTCCGTGCAGCAACTCTACAGAACATCTGCAGAGAGCTCCAGATCCAGATGTGCAGAGACTGAAGCATGAAGACTAGAAGCCGCTGCCAGAGGAGCTTCTACAAGAATGAAAAAGTCTAAATACGTGTTTTCACTTTGCTGCTCAGGGTTATCGAGTGCAGACTGATGGAAAATTACAATTTTAATCATTTGAAATTAAATCTATAGCACAGTAAAGCACAGAAAATGAATCCAGTTGTGGATTTTTTGCACCAAAACTTTGTGCACATTGTAAAAAAAAAAATCCCTATAACCTAGCAGGACATTTACAAGACATAACTTGTATTTATATTATTATGAATTAAACTAACAGATTTATCGGCTTTAAACTCACCACCGCCTTCATATTTAGTTTTAGTTCAGTTAAGTGGCGCCACCTGGTGCCAAACAGACGTCACTGCAGAGCATTGTTTATCAGAGAAATATGGATCAATAAGGGCTCAAACGCTCACTGATCAGTTTGATAAGTTTTCAGTAAAATAACACAGAGTGCCTCGAATCCATCTGTTCCAGAAATATTATTAAAAATATTAGATAAATGCTTTTTGAGTTGCTCTATCAGTATTTTAAAAAACAGAGACTGAATCAAGTCCAAACTATAAATATAGAAAAATGCATTTATTCTGCAGTAAAGTGTTTAATTTTCTTTTTTTTTTTATCCTAATTATAATTTCATGACCTCTCAGATTTATCTGGTGACCATTTGGAGGGGCTCGACCCTTAGGTTGGGAACCACTATTCAGATTTAATGTGATAAAATATTCACATTTTGAACAATATTTCTTTAATTATTTATTATTACTGGTTATTTTTCACTTAATTCATGAATTGAAAGGTGGACTATTTCAGCACTGCACCAGTTATTGATTAACTGATTATTTTCGTCTATAAAATGCCAGAAAAATTAAATAGATATTTTAGAAATTACTTTAATTTTTGCCGAACCTAATCAATAATCAGCTGATGACCCCTCACGTTGATTTCATGACCCTTTCGAGGGGTCCGACCCCTATGTTGGGAACCACTGAACTAATAAAGTAGATCTGATTGCTAGTTTGATATTAGTAAAGATTCAAATTTTCATCGATTTTTTTGTCATTTGACTTTGATTATTCATCAGATTGCTGCTGATTATTTTTCAGTCGATCAGATAATCAATAAATTAACTTAATTCATTTTTAAAGTCGATGTTTTGTGGCTACAGCTAAGAATTTCTTCTCTTCTTGCTCTCAGTGAAGGCGGACACTTTTCTCTTGCTCCCTCCCTGCCTGCCTACATTGCCCTTATCTGCCCGGCTTGCTGCTCTTTGTCTTGTGCTGTCTGTCTGAATCTATCAGAGCTTCTCTCTGCAATTCTCTCAAACACCTGAAATCATGATCAGCTGGTCTTTCAACGCAACTGATCAAATTTTCTCGATGACAAAACTGGTCAAAGGAGAGCCTGCCTGCCCTGATGGAACGTTTGCAGCAGGATACACGATGGACTCCTGGCAGGAGTGGAGGGTCGTGTGCCTCTCTGTACTTTCCATGGAGGACGTTGAAGACGTCTACATAATTGGGATCATGATAACAGGCTTCCTGCTGTTTGGAGTTTGGGGGTTCCTGTTTTATTGCAAAGTTCGGAAGGTGATGGCAGCACTTTCGGCAATTGAGAAGCTGCGCGTCATTGAGGGAATGGTTCGGGCTCAGACTCAAGTGATACGCAAACTCAATCGCAAACTGGATGGGATTCCAGAACTCATTCAGAAGATGGGTACCAACTTGGAGCAGCTGGACAGACCGATCCGGATGTAATGGGCCGTCAAATGTCGGCTTTTTGGATCACAGAGAGAACCAGTAGGACTTTAAGACTGAAGGTAAATTGCAGAGTCGGCCTGACCCAAAACAATCTTCTTTATCTTCATTCGGCTCCCCCACTTCGGCCTTGGAAGGCTGATATCGCTCCACTTCTCCTGGATGTTATGCAGACAGATGCTCAGCCCCTCCCCGCCCCCCTCCTTCTCCTGTGAACTTTGTCTCTGGACCAGAACTCTTCGAGGTCGTCTCCACGGCAACGGCCGTGTCTCGTCACCAGCATCAGACGGCAGAGACAATGTTGAGTCTGGGGGGCGATGAAGTCCATGGACTCACACATACACGAGGACACACACACCACACACACCCTGGACTCAACTTTTTTTTTTTAATCCCACTCTGTGCCCCCCTAGAGGAGCCTAGTTTGGGAATTGCCTTTTTTTTCTCCTCGTTTTTCCTCGTTTTCCTTTTCCTATCTAACATAAGAGGCACATCCCACCTGGTTTTCCCTCCCGTCTCCCTGTTACTGGTCACTGTCTTCTTATGTTCCTTGGACGGGATGTAACTGGTGATTCTGTTGCTCTGTACTTGTGACAGGTGCAATGACAATAAAGTTCTGACTGACTGAAATATTGTTTATTCTGTTTATTTTCTCAATCAGTCATAGTCATTTTTTTTGTGTATAAAACGTCAGAAAATCTAAATTGATCTAAATGTATTGCATTTTCCAATAATCAATAACCAGCTGATGGCCTTCCAGATTGATCAGCTGACCACTCAGAGGGGCCTGACCCCCAGCTTGGGAACCACTGAACTAAACTACCAACACGAACATCAAGTTAATCAGCTACTAGTTTGAATCTGCAAATATTCACGTTTCAGAGGCTGAAACAGAATCAATGGATCAATAATTGATCCGCTAATCAGTTGCAGATGTTAATGTTGATAGTTTACAGCTGCACTCGTTAACAAATATTAATTAATGTGCTTATTTCAGTAATTTCTTGGTTATTTTTAGTTTTGGCTCCCACTAATCACCTGAAGTCCCCTCAAATTTATCTGGCGACCCCTGAGAGGACCCCGACCCTTAGATTGGAAACCGCTGAACTAACATGCAGCTGAACAAACTGTGACATATTTAAAACAGTAAAAACTTTCTAAAGCAGATTTTCTTGATAATGCTTCTGTCCTGCAGCTCTTTGAGTTTTTCTGCAGCGTTTCTGTATTTCCTCTACTGCAGCTATAAATGCAAGCTTCTCATTAAACACCAGCTTTTGTGACTCACGGAGGGAACTTGTCCGTATTTCTTCTCCCAGGGATTAATCCTCTTGGTCTGCAGTCTCTCCAGCACTTCGTGCAGCGCGCCGAGCTGAGAGAGAAAACAGCAGAACGGTCAGAGAGTTAAAACGGTTGAAAATATGAATGGACTCTGGTGCAGGATTTCAACTGTTATCTGTCACTGCTTCTATAACTGCAGTGATCGATCAATTCGTCTATTAACAGGAGGACAAGGCACCGATTTTCCCTTTTACGCCAAAAAATATGACAATACTAAGATTCCAGCTGCGCATATTTGAATATTTTCTGTTTGAATATCTTCTTTGCATTTTAATGGAGCAAATGAGAAAATAACTGATAATGAAAATAACTGCAGCACAGACAGTTTTATGAAATGTGATGTGGATTAGAGTCAGCTGATATCAGTATATAACTAGTTGTAGAAAACCTTTATTAAATGCTAAATCTCACTGTTAATGTGCTTTAATAGATGAGTTGCTCTGTGCAGACTGCAGCTAATTAAATTATAGTTTCATTGATACATGAAGATCTAAATTAAAATTACAGGCAGATCTGTTGGGTGATAAACCATCATGTCAAGTCTTTCTGTGATAATCTGATTATTTTATGATTGATACAGGAGCTTCGAGCTGCATCTGATGAATATATATTAACTTCTGATCAATCTTGCTGCTATTTTTGATAATTAAATTAATATTTTACACGAACAGACTCAGTTTAGTGTCACAGAAGAAGCTGAATCCAAAGAACTCGGATCATTTCTGTTTCCAAACTGACTTTAATGATTGTTTATCTCCTGGTCAACTAATCAGTTAACTGACTGATAAAGATATTTTGGGATTGTTTTCATCTTTTATTAATCTGCTGCTCATATTTTAAGTTTTTTTTTTTTTTTTTTTAAATCTTTTTTTTTTTTTTTTTTTAAATCATGCTTTGCTGCACTGACACGTTTACTGAATTAAAGGATCTAAACATGTTTTCTCTACCACACTGAAATGTTTAAATATAAAGAAGTAAAATATATGAACTAGGTATTCCATGCACACAATTATTATAACTTTAAATAATATAAATTAATAGAAAAATAAAATTTAAATGCTGTAGTTTTACTTGTACTGAAGTAACACATCATCTAGAATTTATTTACTATTAAATGTTACAATTTATTCTTAATTTTACACCTTTGCAGCCAAAATATTACAAAATTATATATACATATAATTTATTTGTTCAGTGTACATAAGTGAAACAAAAAGATTTTACTTGAGGATCTGGATACTTGTACCATTAGACATAATTTTATTGTTTAAAAAATGCTTCAGGTCCAAAAAATGTTATTTAAATAGAAACTATGACACAAATGTCTATAAAGACTTGTATCAAATGTTTCATTAGAATTATTATTATACAATAAATATCAAATATTTTTACAGTGAATGAAAGAAAAGTAAGTTTTCCATTTTTTAATGATAAGACAATGACTGTATTTCACAGGATATCCGGTATCAGCCCGTTCCTGACGCTACTGACCAGCCTGTTGGAGTTGTAGCGGTAGTCCTGAACTTCTCTCTCGTCCCTCTCGGCTTCCGTCCTTCCCGCCGGACACAGCGCGGACAGCAGCGCCGCGCACAGCACAGCTCGCGCCCACATGCTGACAAAACAACAACAACAAATAAAAACAAACACAAACAAACCGCAGCTTCAAAAGTTCCGTCAGAGTCCGCGAGCTCTCCACCTTCCTGCAGGTGTTCCTCACGCGCTGTCTGCCGTCTGGCCCCGCAGCGCGCGAGATCTTTGGATGAACAGCCACGCCCCCTTTTGACGAGCCCCCTCCATAAGACGTCACGTGTATGACGTGGCGCGGCTCCCAATGACCTCAGACTGATGGATCAGTAATTAGCCCTCAATTTAAGACAATTACTGCTGGAATTAATTTATGTTAAAGAAATAAACCTCCAATCATACATTCACTTTGATTTTCATAATTAAAATCATCCAATCAGAAATCTTTTTCATCTTCATAATTCCTCCCCCAGTCATAAACGTTCATGTTTAATATTCATAAATTAAAATCCACAAATGAAAAATGGTCCCTTGTGTCAACATAAATCAAGCCTTCCAATCAGAAGCCTTTATTTTGATCTTCACAAATTATAATAATCCTCCAATTATCAACTTTTATTTTTTACTTTTTTGCTGTATAATTTGTTGTCCAATCACAAACTTTCACTTTTATCCTCCTAAATTAAACAGTCCAACTGCAGACCTTAATGTTATCTTTGTACATGAAAATGTTCCAGTTACAAACCCTTTATTTTTTATTTTTAGCTTCATGATTTATCCTACAATTGCAAACCTTCATTTTAATCTCCAGAAATCAAAATCATCCAATCAGAATATTTTATTTTTATCGTCATATTTCATCCTGCAATTAGTTTTTTTTTTTTTTAGCTTCATGCACTAAAATCTTCCAAATACCAACTTTTATTCCTTTTTTTTCATAAATCCTAATCTTCTAATCACAAACTTTTATTTTTATCTTCATTCATCAAAAAAAATCCAACCAGAAGCCTTAATTTTTTATCTAAAACTCATCTTCAGGTTTAAATGATAACCATTCTGTACTCTAAAATGTTAGTAAAACCTTTTATTTAAGCAGTTTATTTAATATTTCTCTCCACTGTGATCAGACAAGTGTTTTAATTAGCTTATATATATATATATTTCGATATTTATTTTTTTAATTCAGAGGCTAATAAACATGAGTGTTAGCTTGGTGTCTTTTCCTGCTGTTTGCAGCAATGTTGATGTTTTTGTTAGAAAACTACTCAGAGGACAGCCCTGAAGCATATAATAACTATATACTGGTTCTCTGTGGGAAGCTGAGAAGCAGCTGCAGAAGACAATATTCATTCTTGCTTTCTAATTCAGCCAGAATTGTAGATGTTTTGCATGATTCTGTTAACAAATGGAATGAAAACAGATTGCTGTTTGGGTGTTTCATGCTTAATGAATGATTAAACGTTAATTTCTCTGATCGTCAACGAATGCAGCACTGAGCTCAAACTAATGAACTGCATCATCTGACACAACAACTGTAAACAAGTCAGAGCTCAACAACGAATGAGTTCATCTCCCCGTTTATGTGACATTGATCTGAGCAGATTACTTATGGATGAAGTGATTTACTTCCATTAATTCCTTCCTGCAGCAAAACATTTGGACAGATCTGTAAATCTGCAGCCGGTGGAGGAGAGACGGAGCCTTTTCCCAATTTCCTTTTCATATTTAAAGAAGTGGAGGGGGGCCGACACGCTTGAATATATTCACTCCCCGCTGTGCTTCTATTTATATTTCACATTAGTGTGGAGGGATGAAGGTATTAATGTCGCCGACCTTCAAGTAAACACAACTTAAACCCTTCTGACACACAGTCGAGCTGCATCCTAAAACTCTGCCATGGTAAACAAACAGGATGGAGGTTTGTTGTTCGGGTCACTGAAGGACACATCGGTCTGCTGCTAACTATACGTTCATTTGTTATTCTCCCACAGAAGGCCAGACATCCAGTTTCAGGGCAATATTTGATATAATAACACACAATAAGTAAATGAAAGGACTTTTAGTTTTCTTAACTTTATAACTGATCTGTTTCAAACCACTAAATCAGCTGTTCTGCACTAAATTGCTCTTTTCTAATGGAGCTACATTGAAAGTGCAGAGAGCTAAGTTAGCTCAGAAATGTCACAAGCTAAGCTACACCTGCATAGCCACAGTAGTTTTCCACATAGGAAGCTACTTATTAAACTTTCTTTTACATTTATTTTCAGTTATTGTAGTTACACAGGGGTGTGGTTACTTATTTGGTGTGATGTATATTGAAATTTTAGTGATATAGAGTTTTTCAGGCCTTTGCAAACTACATTACTCACTCATTAGCTCGCTAAGTGGTTAGCTTTGGTGGCTTCTGGACGTTGCTGTTTGCGGAAATGGTGACGCCTCATCTATTTTAATGTACAGTCTGTGCCTATATTCATGAAAACTGATAACAAAATGCATATAGGAAGACATAAATGGACTTAGAGTGGAGTATAAATCTGTTGTTTCAGTGTCTGTAGGTCCTCTGAGCTATCAGTCTCGCGCTAAGAGTCTCGTGACAAAAACTACCTAAAACTTCCAACAGTCAGTTAGAACTGAGAAAGATTCTTGGAAAAAGGTAAACCATCTTCAAAAACCAAGAAGGAGGAGCTTTTTGCTGATCTTATTTCAATACACCTGTTATGTTAGCATGCTGATGTTAGCATTCAGCTCAAAGCAGCCTCCCGGCGCTACGAGCATGGATTTAACAGAGTTATGTAATGATGTGAGCATCTACAATAAACACACTGAGTCACACTGTGTTTGTTTTGGCTTTCCTCCTTTTTCCGGAGCTTTCTTAAGCCTCTGATAACTTGATAGCGAGCGGTGTTTGTGATGATCCCAGATATTTTTTTTATTTACAAGCTCATGCTGAGCGTATTGTTGTGGATAAACATCCGGCCTGCAGCGTCCGAGCAGCAGCACAAAATCCTCCTGTTGTCAGCAGGGCTTTAGCATAAGAGCATTGTGCTGATGGGAAGTTAGCGCTGCATGGGCACGCAGAGAATAGAGAGTTTTAAAAAATGGACTTGGCATCAAAGCGATGCGTTACATCAGCTCCCACAGGGCGACTTTGGCTGTTTGAGGACTATAAATAAACCTGCAGAGAGAAGTGAAGGAAGAGGTTTAAAACCCGGCGGCTCCAGGGCCTGATCTGGTCTGTGATTGTCTCCTTGTGGTTTCAGCATGAAGATACATAAACAGCCTCCTCCTCTGCATCGCTGCCGCCCAAACAATCCTGCTGACTGGTTGTGAAAGTGAGCTGTTTACTGCAGCAGGATGCAGCTCTGCATCTTTTCATCATGTCTTCTTCATCCTCTGTCAGGCTCGCTGCCAATCATCCGTCGTCTTCCTGTTAAAACCACATCCAGCCATCAGTGTGAATTACTTCTGAGTGAGGAGTCACTTAGATTTTTTTTTTCCGTGTACAGACTGATGTTTGGGCAGTTTGTCTGATTAACTTCGGCCTCAGTAGTCAGAGATGGCTTATCAATCAAGGACTCTGGACGCTAAAAGGCCTCTAACGTCCAAGTGCAGTGATGGAGCACAATTTAATCATTTTATCTTTCGAGTGGCTCAACAACTCTCAACTGGTACCAACAGCTTGATTTTGAGTCAGATTATCCTGATATGAGGACCCTGGGCCTCCTTATATCCATCTACCACTCTCTGAATATAAATCCTGCTGCCAAACCACCTGAATAAGCCCTCGTATGTCTGACGTTTTACACTGGTTACACCCCAAATATTTCAGTTTCTGTGAAATGATCACAAAGTGACGCCAGTACAACCAGAAAGAGACATAAAATGAATATGCAAAATGACCAAAGAGATCTAAATTGCCTACAGACATACAAAGCAACCAGAAAGTGACACAAAACAACCAAAATGTGACATAAAATAAGAAGCAAAATGACCACAGACATTCATAGTTACTACAGACATGGAAAACAAATAGAAAATGACTCAAACTAACCAAGAAGAGACCTGAACTGAGATGCAAAATCACCACAGAGTTTCATAGCAAATGCAGAGATGAGAAATGTCTACAAAAGGGCACAAAACAACAAAAAAGAGGCGTAAAATAAGACTCATGTGAGATTAATAGTGGCTACAGAGATGCAAAACAAACAAAAAGTGACACAAAACAGCCACAAGGGACACAAAGATGCACAAACACACAAAGATGCTGGTTAAACGAATGAGGGTTGTTTAAAACAGGAGGAAAACGGAGACAAAGGGAGGAAGTACAAACACAAACAGCAGACAAGGGATTTCAAAATAAAGCTGCAAGTAAACGAGAAGAAATGTTAAACCGACACATAGACAAACAGAGGACGACACAAACAGGGAATTACAGGAGAAACGGAAAAGGGAAAAAAAACACAAGAAGGAATTCAACAAAACCAAAAGACCCTGACAGTCTTGGTGCAGATTCTTTTAGTCTTTTACACATGTTGTAATTAAGTAGTGACTTTCCCCAAATCAAAGCAAGACAAGCAAAAACCTCATTAAGTTTTAACGCTTTGGCCTGTTTCCATCTATAAAGCTACAATAATTGTTAGACTTTTGTTTATTTATGTGTGGCTGAAACAGAAATGTGATGTTTTAACAGTCAGTCAGAACGACACAAGAAGAGTTGATTGATTTTCTTGTTAAGAAAAGACGATGAAGGAGCAGACGTTTGCAAGTTTAAAGTGTTCTAATTGTGCAATAGTTTAGTCTAAAGTCCTAAATCCAGCCTGATTGAACCTGGCAGCCTCACATGTGTCCTTTAGTGTCAGTGTTTACATTGACAAAGCTCCGCTGGTTACCTGGGACTCACCTGAGATTCATACTGAGGATTTTCTTCCATATGTGTCTTTTTCTGTTCTTGTCTCTGATTTTCTTTTTCCTGCATCCGGGAGTGAGAAAAACTCACTTTTACTGATTGTGAGAACTTTCTGGAATCAAACGAAGCGTAACAAATGAGGCCAAACTGAACAGAAACATCTGATAATCTCCAAAGTCTTGCAGCCAATATCTGAGCGTCATCTTCTCGGTTTTCCTCTAATCTTCTTGGAAACATGGGTCCAGCTCCATCACCTCGAGTCACTCCAGATAACTCTGATCAGAGCGAGTGGACGGCTAATAACCGCTCACTATCTTTTAATTGCTGCTCCTGACTGATATGACCCACAGCTGTCCCAGAGCGAGACCTGTGAGGCTCTTGATGATGGAAGATTCACAAAACTACAGCAAAGTTGAAAAACATTACATCTGATGCGATTTTTCAGACATTAAAATACAAGCAATACCGGGAAAAGTGATAACAAAAGATAAAAAACTAAAAAATAAGACTCACAACAGCTACAAAGGTACAAAAAAGAGATGCAAAATGACCAGAAAGTGATTCAAAACAATCATAAAGGGTGAAAAAAGGACCACAAACTGAGGTCAAACAGCCACAGATGCACCAGAAATAGACACAAAGAAACCACAAAAAGACGCATCATGATAAAAAACAAGCTATGAAGGTGTGTAAAATGAGACACAAATGAGCACAAAGAGACAAAAATGAACACAAATATTAACAAAATATCCACAAACAGGATCAAAATGGCCTCAAAGAGACACAAAATTACTACAAGGGGACAAAAATGTCCACAAAGAGCCACAAAACAAACACAGAAACAGACAATTACCAGGAAGAGACACAAAATTATCAGAAAGAGACACAAAACAAGACAGAATGAACACAAACAGACACAAAATGTAAATGTTGACAAAAAGACACAAAACGACCACAAAGAGAAACAATACAACAATAAAGAGACATAAAATGACCACAAACGACACAGAATTAATACAAACAGATACAAATATTCACAGAAAGATACAAAACTACCACAAAGACAAATATAATAACATAAAGAGACAGAATGACCACAGAGATTTAGAGTGACTATAAAGACGCAAAGCAACTACAAAGACGTATAACAAGACACAAAATGACCAGAAAGAGACACAAAACAACACAAATTGAACACAAACAGACACAAAATATCAACAAAAAGACACAAAACTACCACAAAGAGATGTAACATAATGTTAAAGAGACACAAAATGACCACAGAGATTTAGAGTGACTATAAAGACGCAGATCAACTACAAAGACGTGTAACAAAACACAAAATGATCACAAAGAGACACAAAACCAGCACAAACGTTGTGTGTTTGAGGGGCTCATGCAGGACTCTGTGTAATTCCCAGAAGGACAGCATGTTTGCGTTTACTTTACAGAAAGCAGACTGATTTTAAACGGACACTTCTGATGGCGTTTAATCCTCAGACTGACCGCCGAGATCCTCCAGCAGCCAGTGTGGAGGAGGCGAGGATTTAGGAGAACGAATCCCTTAAATTTAGGAGGGAAAGTGTCCGTCCAGCCGTCAGAGGCTTAACGCGGCGTCTGAAACCTGACAGCAGCTTCAGCAGCAGACGCAAAGCTGCTGATCCAGGATCAGCTCAGGAAAAACCACTTCAGCATGAGGACTCACTCACTCCCTCAGCAAGGTGGCTCTTATATAACAGGCTGAGTGACAGAGAAGATGAAGCGCTGCTGCTAACTGTCCCTGACTCCCACAAACTTTGTTTAAGAATAAAAGTGGAGAGCTGTTTGATGGTGATGTGTTCAGCTTTGATGTGTCCTCGCATCCAGCAGCTCTCCGTCTCTTTGAAGCCTTTTAGTTTCACTGGAAGAAGCTCGTTAGCGCTGCGTTAATTCACTGCTCTGCTCGGATTCCAACACTGATCACTGATGCTAATGAGATTTTTATTCTGGTTTCTGCGGGGAACTTAAAGTTTGCACCAGCAGAAACAGTGACAGCTCATATCGGGCCTCCAGGGATCAGAGGTGACCCTGCAGGCTCTGATTTGGGCCCGTCGACACCTGATTTACAGTTTTCTACACTGTCGAAAATAAGAAATAATTTTATTTTTTTTTTAAACTTGTAAAACATTAGTAAAAGTCTTGCAATCTCCAATATACATATATTTTTTTCTTTCTAATAACAGCAAATATTTGTAAAGTAACAATATTTTTTCAGATTTAAGTACATTGTACACTGAGGACAAGTGTTGCAAATTGGCACATGTGCTAAAACTCTCAAACAATGCATCTGGTTTGTCCAATGTCCACATCAAATATACAAAATATACATCCATCCATCATCTATACACTACTTAATCCTCACTAGGGTCATGGGGGCTGGAGCCTGGACAGGTAACCAGTCTATCACAGGGCTACACTTAGAGACAGACAACCAAGCACACTCACATTCACACCTACGGACAATTTAGAATCACCAATTAACCTCAGCATGTTTCTGGACTGTGTGGGAGGAAGCCGGAGAACCCGGAGAGAACCCACGCTGCACGAGGAGAACATGGAGACTCCACGCAGAAAGATCCCGGGTGTCCTCACCAGGATGCAAACTGGCGACCTTCTTGCTGCGAAGCAACAGTGCTAACCACCGAGCCACCTTGCAGCCATCAAATAAACAATAAAAAAAAACAAAAAAAAAAAACAATCTGATTTAAGTACAGTTGAAATTGTGTAATTTTTCAATCAATTGCTGTAAAAGAACAAATCACCTTTTGTAAAAATACAGATTTTTGACATTTTGGAAAATCTGTAAAATAATTATTCTGAATAATTTAAACTTTCTAGAAACTTTTAGGTCGCTGCTGAAGAAACATCTCAGCAGTAGAAGCAGAAAGTGGCATGAAAAGAAAAGATGTAAGTAATATACAAACACCTCAAATCTGTATTTAAGTACATCTGAGTAAACGTACTGAGTCACTTTCCACAACTGTCCACCCTTCAGTCCCTGAAAATCTCTCAGCATCACGTGAAGCAGTGGCAGCAGCACAGCGCCATCCGCTGCCTGCTTACAGTCACTGCACTTCACTGTGTCTCATTTGTATAAATCTTCCCTTTTTCTAACTGCAGGATTTTTATTTTTTCTGCCCATTAAAATGAAAGAAATCTGGGAGCCTGTTATAGAAAACACAGCCTTTTTATTCATGGTCAGTCAACAGTTCATTTCATCATGTGAAGGATAGAAGCAGCCAGTCTGCAGCTGGAAACAGCTGGAAACGCCTCCTGCTCACTGGGAGATGGCTGGTAGATGAGTTCATTTCCATGCTGACATTCAGTCATTTCCTCATGTTCAGTGATGAAACAGGAGAGCAACAAGTTCCTGAGACTGTTCTGTAAATGATGGATGTAAAGCTGTCCAGAAATCCTCCATCCATCCTTCAGCCTGCAGCCTGTTGGAGCCTCTTCAGCACCTCCTCTGGACTCAGAGCCGAGTCCACCTTGATCAGTTTATCTCTGGACCTGGAGCCCTGAAGGACAAAGATAAAACCAGACCTTACTGATCCCAGCAGATGTAGTATAGTTGTATGCATTTTTATGATTCTGCATATCTAAAATATATATTACCCAAACATTTTTATATTTCTCACATGTAGTTCAACACTGGCCTACATGACTTCTGTCATGCTGTTGGTGTAGTGATTCAGATAAGCTTATATATATATTTACCAGAAATTAGATTTGTTTGTGCCAAACTAGAGTGTACTCTGTATGGTTCTGGGGCTGAAAACAAGAGTCTTTTACAAGGAAGCCAGCCTAAACAAGAATCCAAGGTATTGGCAAGATTGATGAGCGATACTGGAAATGAGTAGTGCTCTACTTATAGATGTTATGTGTGATATGAATGTTGAAAGGAGAGTCTCTAAGGTGGTGTATTTGATGTTTATGTGATGAGCAAGGAGTGGAGAACTAGAAGACACTATGGCCTAAAACATACCATGCCTTCTGACCGATTTTCCTCTAAATGGGACCATAAATTAGTAAATTAACACCATGTTGTATTGAAGGAGACTTAAAACTAGTGACTGAGACCATAAACTCACGAGGAAACTGTTCACTGATGTAACAGAAAAGAAGGATCATTTTCTATAGACTTCTACACAATCTAGCTTCTGCACTGGCTTCACTACATCCATCATTTATAAACAGTGTATGATCTAAAAAATTGGGAAATAAATTCAGTAACAGAAGAAATGTTTACTCAGACATATAAATGTTAATAAAATGAATACATGTGCAAAACTAAAAGTACATATATTTGCAGATTATTGTACAAACATAAAACTCTTTTTCAGATTTGCATATCCCAACTCTGGAAAATAATATTTTGAGGAACCTTGTCCAGAGATATGTGACTCTTCTTCAGGTCCAGAACTTCAGCCAGGTAGCGAATAAGCTCAGCGTTGGCCTCTCCGTCTGTAGGCGGCGCAGCGATGGCGACACCCACCGACTCTGCAGAAACTCCTGCAACAGCAGCAGAAAAACAGCAGTTTAAAGGATGTTTTCCTTTGTCATACCAACAGTCCGGTTACACTCAGAGCGAAGGAGGGCGACCTGTGATGCCGCTGTGTTTGGAGCCCGGCTTGGCGTGAACTGTGATGGTCACAGCACCACTTTTATCTCGAGTCACCGGACCGGAAGCTTCTGTCTCGGCTGCTCCACCTCCACCAGCCGGCTTCCCCTTCACCTGGTTAACGGCACAGACAGTTAGTGAGGTCAACATACACATGGTTGGTTCTCTACAGTCTTCTTTTCTTTATTTTTTGACTCTCAAACATCCTACAAAACAGTCAAGAGTCAACCAAAGACTAGAAGAGATTTGAATTTATTTCTTTATTCACATTTCAGATCAGAATACCCTATTTATTCTTTACAACAATCATCTTATGGCTACAGCTTCTAGTTTTATTGCAATATAACAAATTTTAAAACCACATTTATTCATGAAATTAAAGTCTCCTGCAATTAAACTTAAAAATCAGTAGTAGTACACATGCTGTAAAGGCTCCAACAATATAACACAGTTCTTCATTCACACTTTAATCTAGTTAAAATGACAGTACATGCTTTTGTTCTGAGACAGCCTGTGTTCTAATGTGAAGGACTTGATTGTTACCTGACAGGTGGACAACTGAGCTGATTTATTTATTTTATTTTTTAAACACAGGCAACTTTAAAAGGCTGCAAAATATAATTAAATACAAAACTACTTATATTCTCTGCTTAGTGTGGTTGAAATTTTTATTTAACAAACGCCAAACTAACCTTCTCCTTTTTGGGCATCTGTCTGTTTGTGGAGAAGCTTCTTGTTCGCCGGGTGACACCGGGCAGAGGAGGCGGCCTGACCCGGCAGAGAGCGGCCCACCGGCGGCCGAGCACCGGGATGAGGTCTGGTAACGGTGAACGGTTCAACCCAGGGAGCCGAAATGTTACTAAAGACCGAATAAAAATACGAGACACGGCGACACCAGCACGGTAAAGCATCTACCAGGTGCCTGTTAGCATGTTGGCTAAACAATGTAAACAATGCTATTTCCGGTTTTCAAAATAAGGCTCTTCCGCTTCTTCTTCTGGCTTAAAGGTGCCTCACTGCCACCTACTGGGCCGAAGTTTGCATTTTAAAAAATTAATTAAAGAATAAATAATCAAAATTTGGCAACCCTATTGCCTTTTCTTGTCCCATTAGTCTGTTTTGTTATGAGAGCTTTTCTTGTAAATATAAGAAAGTTGCTGAATGACAGGATGATGTGTCTCGTTGGTGAATTCAAAGCACCAGCAATTAAAAAAAATAGTATAAAATTGTAATTTTTAAAAAATTATTTGTAACCCCATACAGCACCTTATAGCTCATTCTGGCTTAATTATCAGAAACATCCACAAGAGGGAGCAGTGACTGTGTTTGTTTCTTAGTTAAGTTGCTTCTTTGTGGTTGTTTTGCATCTAAAAGTGATTATTTTGCACCTAGACTAGGTGGTTCTTATCCCTGTTTGCATTGAATGAGCATTTATGCGTTGTCTTGTTGCATCCATTTTTAATATTTGAACCCCTTTAGTACTTTTTGCATCTCTTTGTGATCATTTCCGGTAATTTTTTGTCTCTTTGTGTCATGTTGTGTGGTTATTTTCCATAATATTGCATCTCTGTTGTGTTGTTTTGTGTCTCGCTGTGGATGTTTTGAGGAATTTGTGTCTCTTTGGTGTTGTTTTGCATCTGCTTTTGGTTG